GAGAGCCTGCTTCTCCCTCTCCCTCTGCCTGCCACTCTGCCTACTTGTGCTCTCTCTCTCTATCTCTCTGTCAAATAAATAAATAAAATCTTTAAGAAAAAAAAAAAAACTGCACGGCAACATTGCAGTCAATTTCTTCCTTTCCCTAATATGGAAACAGCCCAATACTCACTTTGCCTTTGTCAAAGTATGATATGATTTCTTGATACAGCTTCTCTTTAAGCTCTTGCTGGGTATAGACGTAGTAACTGTCCCTCTGAAGCAAATGGGGTTCACAGGGCTTATCAGACCACTGAAAAACAAACAAAAGGAACAAAAGAGATTAACACAACATACTGATTAATTAAATTCATTAACCAAAGGAGATCCATGTAAAAAGTATTCAGCCAATAAAAGTCATGGACATATTTGTATATGTTTTTGATTCGGCCATATTATTTAGATTATTTATTAAACACAAAAACTGCCCCCCCCCAACACGACATATGCCAGCTTCAAAACAAGTGTCACACCAAATGGGCAACCACGTGAGGCATTCCTGTGAATAGTCAGGAAGGGGGCAGAGTGCTGCCCGACATAACTGCTGGTCACTGAAGGTATCATTCAGACAACAGGATAAAAGAAAAAAATTAGAAGTATAAAAATGGGAAGGAAGGGGTAAAACCATGACCGTGTGCAAACAAAGACCATATTCTTTGTAATCCATCCCTTCACAAAGCGTGCCAACTGAATGACTATCACGGATAATGAGAGAATTAAGCAGCGGCATAAAAATTAACAAATTTAGAAATAATTTAGAGACGGATTTCCCAGGAATAGATAACCATGCTGAAGAGAGAAGACCCCAACAAGAAAAAAGCCCAAATGAGAAGATATCCAGGCACAACAATGTGAATGTACTTAAGGCCACTGAACGGTCCACTTAAAAATGGTTAAAACAGTAAAAGTTATGTTCTGTGTATTTTACCATAATTAAATTGAAAAAAAAGGCATAATGAGGAATATGTAAGACTTCTATACAAAAAGTTTAATACACCCTTGAAGGGCACGAAAGCAGACCTGAACAAATGGAAAGTCCTATTATGTTTTTGGATAAGAAAACGCTACTCCATAAACATGGAAATTCTCCCTATATCAATGTTTTAATTTCACGATTCCAAAGTCCATATGGAAAAATAAACAAAAAGGAACAGGGCAGAAAACTCTGAAAAAAGAACAGCAATGAAGAGTAACTACCAGTAGTAAAAACGTACCATAAAACAGTGTGGTCCTGGTGCGTGGACAGACAGAGCGTTCATTCAGACCATGCAAAAGTATATGCAATCTGGCAAGAGACTTGCCTTGTGTAGGCGATTTACTACATGATAAAGATGGAATATCATCCCAAGGAGGAAAATATGGACTATACTTAATAAACGGCATCCCTAAATTCAGTAGCTAGCTGGGGGCGGGGGGCGGAGGGGGGGGAGTTGCATCCACACCTCATACTTTACGCCAGCGCAGAGAGTTTAACTTTCTGAGCAGCACAGATGAAAAGACCTACCGTCACCGAGACACCGGAGTCTCTTTGTGATCACTCCACAGTCAACAAGCCCTCCCATCATCCCATATACAATAAGCCTGTCAGTACGCTGAACTTGAATATGAATTGTGAATGGCTGCCCTGGGAAGTGGTGAGGCAGAGGACTCCTGTTTTTAATGACAAAGCTAAGAACAATGCACATGTGTTATTTTAGTATAAAAATTAAATTATATCAGAAAATGAATTGCTAGGGGCAAGAATGGAGACAGGCAGATGTAACAGGGGGCTACCGTCATGCTCTAGGGAAGAGACAATGGACCAGGACACAGCAATGAAGATAAGGAAAAGTGGATAGAAAGGAGATACAGTCAGGATCCCTAAAAGATGCTTGTACTCCCGTGCTCACTGCAGCCGAGACACGGAAACAACCTAAGCGTCCAACAATGGATAAAGAAGATGTGGGATAAATATGCAATGGATGTCATTCAGCCACAGGAATGAAAGAAATCCTGCCATTCTGGGCAACATGGATGGACCTTGAGGGTGTTACAAGCGAAACAAGCCAGACAGAGAAAGACAAATACTATACGATAGCTCTTCCATGTGGACTCTAAAAAAAGCCAAACACATGAAAACAGAGGGCACAGTGGTGGTTACTGGGATTCGGGGGAGATGTTATTGAAGGATGCAAGCACAGCCAGAGCATAAATAAACCTTGGACTCTAAAGCATAGTGATTACAGACAACAATACTGTATCACAAACTTCACATTTTCTCAGAGACTAGATCTTAATCGTTCCCACCCTGAAAAAAAAAAAATAAAGGTAAGTATGTGCCTTGAGAGAGGTGTTCATCGATGCTACAGGTCTGCGATTCTAGCTCAGCCTCGAAGTAGGAGGGTGAATAAAAGATGACAACAGGTATTTGCCTGAGCGCCTGGGTAGACGGAGATGCCCTTTAGTAAAATGGGAAGAAAGAAGAGGGTAGGAATGGATCCAAGAACACCGTGGGGAATGACAGCTTCTGTTACTGCCGTGAGAAGTGCAAGCTGTCTAATAGCCGCTCACAGATTGTGATATGGAAAGAACAGTTCACACGTGAATGCAAAGTCAGAGGACTGGTCAGAGCCAGAAAGCATTATTCGGGATCCATGACATATAGGTGTATTTATATCCACGGCACACTACTTGGACTTTGTAAGGGAGTATAAGTAGGGAAGTGCTGCTATATTCATTTACAACTTATTTCTTGGCAGTTCTACAATTTTTTTTTACATATATTAATCAGGTGTATTTTGTTTCTTCAATTAGACTGTCAATTACTGGAGGCCTGTAAGGCTGTGCTCTGCTTCCGGAGGATTTTTAAATAAATGATAACTGACATTTTCCCAACCTGGGTCAGAAAATTAGCTGTGCTTGTTTAGAAGGCATACGAGCGCTCTTGGATAAAAGAATCTCCCTTGAATAAGGCTCCTTCCCATCCAAAATCAGGAAGCATGCAGGATTTGGTCCCAAAGGGCTTGGACAGTTGACTTTCCCCCCAATGGAAAAAGGCATCCTGATGCACTTACCTGCAGCAGCTCAGCATGTAGGAGGAGGGTATAGGCGGCTTCTGTGTAGTTTTCAGAGTCTCGGTGCAAATCCCGCAGCTTGTACAAGTACCTGGTCAGAAGGGAAGGAAGGAGGCACTCTGCCGCTCGGGTTCAGCTCATTCCGCAACCAGGCCGCAGCCTGCTTCCCCATCTTTCCCTCCGTCCTTCCTTTCTCACAGACAAAGGAATCCATCACTTCCTGTCTCCCCCTCCCCCTAGCCCTCTCTGCTGCTTCTTGTTTGTGTGTCTTTCCCACTTCATCTACTCTACTTTATACTCTTCCTTTAATGCAGTGATGCTTAATTTTTTTTTTAAATGTCATGGACCTCTTTGGGAAGCTAGTAAGAGCTATGGAATCTCTCCCCAAGGAAATGCATATAGTTAAAGTCCAAGTTTGTTTCATGCTCAGGGCTTCCAGCATCCCAGGCTGATGGTCCTTGACAGAAGGCACCCGTCCATCCTTGCCTCTGCCCTAGGCACCCTTTCTTGACTGCTCTGGCCAGTCTTCTTTCCTTCCCTGGAATCCCAACACTATCCTCCCTATGCACTCCCGCAGAGTGTACTTATGCATCTGTCTAAAGAGTTTACCTTTTCGGGGGAAGGGGGGTAGATCACTTACTTTCTGGTATCTCTCAAAGCAGCAAGCATGGTGTTGGGACTGAGTATTTGCTTACTGAAGAAATAAATAATAAAGCCATGACATAAATGGCAAAAGCAGAAATCTCCTCCAGCTTACCTTATGTATATGTCCTCTCTCTTCTTTTCTTTATAAAAATTCTACCGAAAAAAAGGGTGGCAAAAATACCAATGTAAGTCAAAGGTTATGGAGAAGCTAGCCATGGAAATGGCCAAACCACTACTTTTGCTTTTCAACAGTGTCACTTTTCCAGAGGTTATTGTTTTCCTTTAACAAATACCCCCACAAAGAAAGGCAGTGGCCAGTGATAAAGATAAGTTGAAGAATTATTTTTAGGACCATGCATCTAAAAAACATGAGGGCCTCTAAGTGAACAGACAGCCAACCGATACTCAAGTCAATGGATGGTCTTTTTTTTCTCAAGGGGTCAGTGGAGTCGGGTTCTTCATTTATATTAAGCAGAGGAATGCATAGCAGCCTAAACGGAGGTCTGTGGTCCCGGTTATATATATCTAGGGAAAGGCAAGACCACAGAGTTCTACCACCATGAGGATTCCATAGACTCCCTCCTCCAGTTTCTGATGCAATATTGCCAACAACAAAGCAACCACATATAAACAAGACACACAAAAAGGTGAAGGATAGCCTTCGAGTAAGAGCTGAGCCAAGAGCTTATGTTTCACTTTCCATCCCTATGTCTGTGGGAGCGGATATCTGAGTCCAAAGTAAGTCAGCAGTTCCAACTGGACTCAGCAGGACATAGACTCCATACAGGTGGCCCCAGGGTACCTTTGTGCCTACTCAGAGCTGAGCCACGCTTGCAGGGGTGGCCCAGCAGTGCCCTCTTGCCAACCCGGGGGCCTGGCACCTACCAGCACGTTCACAGTACAGCTCATGCGGTTCTCCTTGCTCTCGTCATGCATGATAATGGTTCTGTAGTCCAACAGGTGCTCTAACAGGCTGCTGACCAGGAATGCGAACACTTCTCCAGAGGTGGAGAGGTATTTGTGTTTCCGGCAATGTTCTAGGAGCCTGGAAAGGTGGAGGTAGAGACAAATGCCCATGTTGTATACTGTCTGTCATGCCAGCACCGTTAATGAGCACTGTCCAAGGTCCTGGCAGCAGGTGGCGCCAGACCAGGAGACACACACCCTTCTGTGTAAGGCCATCCTATCCCAGGGCTCCGCTTATGCCGTCCCTCCTGGTGACTCAAGTCCTACATTGTCTTCAGGGCTTTGGCTCAAGTCCCACTGTCACTTAGAATCTCAGCCCACAATGCCCATCTTTGAACTTCTATCTGTACTTGTTTTTTGTTTTTGTCTTTTGTCGATACCAAAGAAATGAGAACCTTTGCCCAAAAGGTTTATGTATGCTATCTGATCACTCTACTGAAACTGAAAGAGACCATCTTTTTATGTCTTTATTCTCCCTAAAGCCTAGCACTTCAAGGGCATCCTGTGGGCATTCTGGAAAGCCTTGGATCAGTGCCCAGTCTAGAGGACCCTAGGAATCTAGTGCACATCCACACACATGCCTCTTCACGACGGAAGTGCTATTTAGTCAACAACAAAAATGCAAAATTATAAATAAATAAGCTGAGGATAAACTTTTGATCTAAACCTTCTCCTGTTGGACCCAAATAGAGCAAAGCTATTCTATAGGGGCTTCTTGGATTTGACAAGAAGAAATCTTGGAGAACAAGAGAAAAAGAAAGAAATGGGCTCAAAGAATTAGCCCAGACTTTAGGATTACTCTTGAACACTGGAGATTTGTGTAGTCACATTTTTCTGAGTTAGTGATTCAGGAAGAATGAAGAAAAAAAGATCTTACAGTGAAAAATCAGACTGGGATTTAAAAAAAAGGGTAGTTTATCATCTGTAAATTGTGTGTATATATGTGTATATGTATGTAATTTCTCCATTCAATTCCTGTACGAGATCTGAATTACAAGAGTGATAATGTGGGAAGGTTTGAAACTCAAACGGGTAAACTTAACGGAAACAGGATAAAAAGATCAACGAATGGGTCTTGTCATCCACTAAAAGCAAAATAAGAGTTCTGGTTCTTGAAAATATAGTTGAGTCATCAATTCAGTTACATTTCTGAGCACCCAGTGTGTTGGCTCCTTAAATCTTAAAAAAAAACAAAAAAGAGAATGGAGTTGGGAGTCCCTGTCCCCAAGCATAGTCTAGTGCATGCCACTCCCACAAAAGAGGCAGACAACAAAATGATGGAGGCATACGCCCAGTCAACAGGTGACACAGCTGGTCAGTATCACAAAGGCTCAGAGACCCCAAGAAATGAGTAGGCTCAGGTGGTGGGCACCATGGATGATGGAGGACTTGAGGAAGGTAGCAGTGACCAGCACAAACCCAGAGCAGCGACACTCCGTCAGCACAGGCTCAGTAACAGATGCTGTGCGAATGCATCACCTCATTGAATCCTCAACCAATACCAGAGCGTACGTGCTATTCGTGCGGATGAAAAAGAGAGAGCCATCAGAGAGGTCGTCGGAACACTGGTCCAAAGTCACGCTCCTGGGATATGGCGAAAACGAGATCTGAAGTTTTCTCTAACTCCAACCTCCAAGTGTTTTTAACCACCTTTTAATGTTGTAATCCCACATGTGCAAAGGAGAATTCAGAGGGCAGGAGGGGTGCGCGGGGCATGTGTGGGTGGGTAGGGAGTGGCGGGGATACTGTGAGCACAGGAGGGAATAGAAACGGTGGATGTGGGGGGAGGTGGGCAGGGCAGTGCAAAGATCAGCCTGGCTGAAGATATAACAGGTGTTCTTCGAGGCCCTCTATAGGGCAGAAGGTATTTTTAAAGGTAAAGCGGACTCTGAAATGTTTTTTTCCTTCCTCCTTTAAAATGGTGCTTTGAAGCCATAATTAGAGGCACTAGCACTTTTGGTGAAGTTCAGCGATTCAAACACTGGGCAAAATGCCATTGCTCTGTACATGTCCCCCTTCTGCTCCATCTGCTCTGTTCTCGAAGGGCCGGCTGGCCGGGAAAACACGGACATTTGACTCACTCAGACAAACAAATGTCAGCAGTGGATGGTGGAAACTCCATTAACCCCACCGAGGACCATTTGTGGTGGTGACCCCAGTGCTTCTGGAACTACTCGACCAGTCTGTAAGGGTAGCAGAAATCTGCTTCTCTCCCTCGCTAAATGATGCATCAACCTGAGACTTTGTTTCTGAAATACTCACAGTTTTTCCAGAAGGACCTTGTATTGTTCATCTCCTCTGCCCCCTTCCACCTCTTGGTCCAGCTTTGTGATCAACTCATTCTCAAACTGAAAGAAGAGTCAGAATTTCACAGGAGAATGCCAGGTATCCTTAGAAGAGGACATGTAAGACACCCAGCCAACCTTTCTAGATTCGACCCAACCCCTTTATTGAACTGTGAACGCTTTCCAACATATTCTAGGGGAAGATCGTACTTCACGTCACCCATTAATCATGTACCAGGGCTCTACCGAAACGCTCTAAACTAGTCTCATGTCATTTTGCTTTACACTGCAGGAAGAAAATGCCCTTTCCTCCTCTGAAGGAGACCTCAAAATAAGAGACCACCGCATCAGTCCCCCAATCCATGGCATTATTTTCACAGCTGTGCTGCAACAGATAGGATTAAGATGTGTGATGTCAAATTTTAATTACCCAGAGATGCAGTGCTGTTTTAGGAAACACATGTAGCAAAAAGACGGTTTCTAGAACATCCGATTCTGTCTCTAATTATTTTACAAAATGAAAAGTAAACAGTTTTTAGACCAACTTGGATTTGTATTACTCGGGCAACTGCTCCTCTCTAGAGAAAGAAAGAGCAAGTGTTGACTATCTGTGCATCCGGAAGATTCCAGTTCTACCACTTACCATGTGGAAATTGCCATTCCCGCTAAAGTTGAACTCACACTGCATCATGTCAAAGAAAATGGGGATGGTGGCTTTCCGGAGCTCGACCTCAGGGGTCAGGGTGACCTCCAGAATAGGACCCACCATGGAGGGGATAAATTTGATTTTGTGGGGACCTGAAATGAAAGTAAGTGAGGGTATTGAAAAGTGATTTCACTGGAAGTCAAGCGTCACCACATTCCTCCACCGGGCCAGAAGAAAAGAAAAAGGTCCCATGGGTAACTCAACTCAATTCAGAAATGAGTGCCTAAATATTATATTCTGATGTCATAATACAAGAGCTATAAGTCAACTTTCACTTCTAGACACACAAAGAGGTCTCAGGGTTACTGGGACTTAAAATCGAAAGAACCCATCATGGGGTGCTCATTACATAGGAGTTGTGTGTGGGACGGTTCAAGGTCATACACTCACCCAGGTTATACCACATGTCCCGGATTCTGAAGCCGATTTCCTTTCTCATGTCCCCGTATCTAGGAAGAAGATCATAAATAAGAAAAAGATCTGCAGTGGATATGAGTGCATATATTAAAATGATGAGGCGAATAAAAATGGCCTTTTGCTCCTCTCGGTCACATTTATGACAGGTTTGAGGCAAGGTCACTTTAAGAGATGCAGTCAATACCAAAAAGAGCCCCCAAAGAGAACTGGGCCACACGGAGAGGGGGACTTTACTAGCAGGAGGGGGCCAAATGCGAACACTGAAAAGTAACAGAGAAACAAAACTGTCAAACTTATTGAAGGGAGAAGGGGGAGGAGCATTCTGGCCAACGTTAAGCAAAGAAACAAAACAAAACATAACAAGCATGAATGAAAAGGAAGACGAATGAGGTATGACTTATATAGTCATGTGACCAATGTCTAACAAACATGCTGACTTTATACATTTTTTGAGTAACCCATGTGCAAACCAGTACATTCCAGTACTCACACTGAGAAGCTCAAGATGATATTTTCTCAGTGGGGGGGTGCTGTCCCCAGAGGAATGAACGTTGGTCCTTGGGGGCACAGAAGGCTTACTGTTCTTACGTATGAAGTTCAAATATACATATAGTATACAAACAGATATGAAGTATATCTGTGGTATTAAGATTTCGGGGGGGGCGCCTGGGTGGCTCAGTTGGTTGAGCG